ACATACTTTTCACACAGACACTCACCATACTCAACCTTTATTACAATAAAATTGGTGATCAAGGAGCACAAGATCTTGCCAATGCTTTGCAAATCAATAAAGTAACAATAGCACTTCTTCTTCTTTTTCTCACTCTAATTCATCATTCACACACGTTTCACATAGACACTCACCACACTAGACCTTGTACACAATAGCATCGGTAATAAAGGAGCAGAATATCTTGCCAATGCTTTACAAATCAACAAAGTAACAACAATACTTGTTCTTCCTCCTCTCCACTTCACCTCATGATTCACACACATTTCACACAGGCACTAACCACACTCAACCTCGAAAACAATCAAATCGGTGATGAAGGGGCACAGGATCTTTCCAATGCTTTGCAAATCAATAAAGTAATAATAATACTAGTTCTTCTTTCTCTTTACTTCACTTCATCATTCATACACTTTTCACACAGATACTCACGACACTCAACCTCAGATGCAATCATATCGGTGTTAAAGGAGCACAATATGTTGTCAATGTTCTAGAAATCAACAAAGTAACAACAATACCTCTTCTTTTTCCTTTTCACTTCACTTCATCAGTCACATACTTTTCACGCAGACACTCATCGCACTCAATCTCGAATACAATCAAATCGGTGATGATGAAAAGAAACAACTTCGAAAAATATGCGTAAAAAATACAGGACTGAAAATACTTTTTTGATGAAAGTTATTAGTAACAGTAGCAACCATAAACAAGAGTGCTGTTACTTTTAATGTTTATAAGATTTTATATCGATTCAATAAATATATGTGATGTGTTGTAACAATAGGAGTTTTTTTCTTGTGTTTTTGGTGACTGTTTGGTAGCAGTTTCTTAACGGGAAGTAATAGAAGAAAATGGAAATTCATGAAATAGTTTGCATGTTTTAATCATAGGATTTTAACAGAAGACAGTTTCTATTGAAAGACTGATAGTCATCATATCCAAAGAAAGAAATGTCGGTTTCTATACTCACCGGGACGCATGTGAGATTGTTTCCGAAATAATAATTTCATTTGGAAGTATTAGTAAATGTAACTGACACGAAGACATTTCGAATTCTACTAGCTTGCAATATTTTATCGATGAATGATTGAATCGTTATTAGAGTTTCTGAAGATTTTACAGTCTACACACATAATGTTTTGGATCCATTTAATTTGCGAGCAACTGGACTTGTGTATCTTTTCGATATTGACGAGTAGAGTTTTGTATCTCTATATTTTGAAAAGTATACATTGGATTCTGCTAAATGTTCTGGAGCTACTGATGATTACTAGATCAATTTGTACACAGATTGTATATCTAAATTCTTGGTTTAAAGTGATGTTATAAGTAAAGTGATATGTTGAGTACAAATTGAGGCAAACGACCGAAAGACGATTTTTATTTTTACTTTAAATAAAACTAAACATTCAGTTCTCCATACAAAGAGTTCGGCTGATATTTTAATACATCATTAATTATTGTTGTAAACACAATGAATTATTTGATTTTAGGCGAGTCTTACAAGACTTTACATATATCAAAGAGCTTCAATTTTTATAGGTTGAGAAGTATATAGATAAACTGATGTGTTCTCTTGGTCTTTTAAACGAATAATATATAAATACCATAAATAATTCTCAATTTGATAAAATTTTTAGTTTGTTTGATTAAATATATAATGAAAGATTTATCAAGTGTCTTGAGGATATGAATATTCGATAAATAAAATATACTCACACCCATACCCACATTCTTATTTAGTCTGAATATATACCATTTATTTGATAGAATATTACAAAATCATCTCGATACGTCTTATTAATAAAGTTCAAACTGTTCAAATACTCGAGTTATAAAATTTTAAAACTTGAAGATAATTAATGAGTTTTTAACTATTAAAATAATTCCAATTATTTAATTTTCAATAGTGAAGAGATATGAAATTTGCTAGAACACTGACACATATTCATGATATTGTGAATTAAAAAACCTATGATAAAAGTGTTTTAAATATTGATTCTGTATTTTCTGCATCAAAACACAATACAGATGTGTTTCCTATAGGAATTACGCATTTCCTATCTGATTTTGTAGTTTAGTTCGATGAAAATCATGTTTTTTTTATTCAGATAAATATACAACAATATTGATATAGTTACTTTTCATTTCCTTGTTTTATGTTAATGATAAAATGAAAAATTATATATATATATATGCATAGTAATAATTAGTTTTTATATTTCTAAAGTTATTATGATGCATTGGCAATTGTTATATTCTATTATAGTAATATCCATGATAATAATTAAATCGAATGCATCACTTCTTTATAATACAAATGATAATTCAAAAACAGTCTTCGATTGCTTTGATTCGTATATAATTGATGATCGTAATCCAAAAGAAAATATTTCGTTTCAAACAAATTATCTAATACCTTATTGTCGACGTCCATTATCAACTGACCATATTAATAAAATACAAGGATATATAGAAAATACATACACATTTAAAAATTTAAGTCTACAAGGAATTACCAGTGAAAATCTTCTTCAATGGTCAATATCAATTGATATTATTGAACAATATTCTATATATATCATTAAAAATGATACCAAATTCGATGAATTTATTTTTAATAACTGTTCATCATTATGGTTTGGTTCGAATTGTCAATATACATTTAATTTAAGTATGCCTATCGAATCATTTGGGGATTTTGTAAATTATTCATTTAACGCTCGTGAACAATATGAGAGGAAAATATTAATACATACTTGTTATCCTCATTTATCTGGATGTTATCGTGGTCCTGAACCGATGTGTTTAGATTGGCGCGAAATATGTGATGGAAAAATTGATTGTATTGGAGATAATTTTGGTATCGATGAAGAATATTGTAATGAACTTGAAATACATGAATGTAAAGAAGATGAATATCGATGTCATAACGGAGCACAATGTATTCCACGTGAATTCTTTCGCGATGGTCGACCAAGTAAAGATTGTTTGGATGGAACAGATGAAGCTGAATATTTTCGTGCGTCGGCGTCTTCGAATATGGCACCACTTTTAACGTGCATCGATTCAATGCTATTCCGTTGTGAAGAGACTACTTGTCGTGAACCACAAGAATTTTCATGTGGCGATGGAAGTTGTATAATGTTTCACCCTAGTTTTAATCTTATTAATTATAATCCAGATGCTTGTGCAAGTACAGGTCGTGTTGCCTACTATCGTCAAGCAATTTATAAATCCGCCAAACGATATCCGGATGATTGTTATCTTATATTATTTTGTAAACTTGGTTTTTATGACATTCTTCAAAATGATACATACAACATAACAGATTGTTCATATGAAAATCTATCATCAAAAAATTGTACATTAGAATATCTTTCATTTCCTCTTGAACCTATTTTCAATGGCTATTTTCAACCTTTTTATTCAACTCGATATTTTAACAATCCTGATTATGATAAATGGCCAGCATATATCTGTA